GCACAAAGAATATTAGGCAAATTTCTCAAACAAAATCTCCTATTTTACTTTTTTTCTTATTAACATTCCTTTTTCATTCATTCTAATGGTGTACCTTTTGTTTTCTAAATGATGAAATTGTCCCTACCTAGCTAGCGGTTGCCTCCATCCTTTATCTTTGCCCTACTACCCTTGCCTCACCTACTCTTTTCTTTTATTGCTTTTGTCAATTGTTGTCTTTTTATCTCTTGTCATCATCCATTGTGTTACCTTCTTCATGCCTTACTCACCCATGTGCTCTCATTATTTTTCTCACTTATGTACCTTCAATATCAACCTTTCTCTTGTACCCTCACCATCGTCCTTGCCCACACACCTCACTCTCGTCGTCATGCACTCAAAATCAAAAATAAAGATAGCTTTTGGCTTCCATGAGAGTGTCAAACAAAGGCAATAAGGCAGTACAATCCTCCACAATAGAGCTTTGGATGTAGAGGGTGAGATGCCTCGTCGGCGACCCTTGAGAGGAGAAGGACGAGTGCATAATAAAGTGAGGGGCGACTAGAACTCGACAATTGATATGAAAGTGGACAACATAATTGTGAGCGACGGTGTGTATCCAAGAGTAGAGAACGTGCAGTTGAGGCGAGGTGAAGGTGGCCACGACGAAGGGCATAGGTGGTAGGGTAAAAGCGACAATCGATGAAAACTAGGAGTAATTTTATCGCGCTCCTAGGAGAATAAATGGGAAAATGGTATAGTAATAAAAAAAATAAAAATAAGAAGGTTTTCGAGAAATTTATCTAAAAATATTTCATAAATAATTCTATGACCGATAGTCCTATTTAGCAGTTGGATCTCAAATCTTTCACCTTGATTAGTTGATCAAAGAATATAGGAACTCGTTTAAGAATATTTAGTTTATAACCGTGGCGAGAGGATGATGAAAAATTAACTGGACCAATATGAAATCTATTTTTTCATTTCCATAGAGAGACAGGTGAAAAGTAATCGTGTTTAGTGATACCCAATGATTCAATTATGATAATTCGTTACTAACTTAGGGTAAAGTAATTTTTATATAATCTCATTTTACTTCCAATTTAGCTGAATCCAAGTTCCAAGAAGGTACAATGACAGTATGCTATATCATACGTTGGCATAACTCTAAATACTTCAAGTACTAGTAATTGGAAAAGGCAAAACGACAAAAAACAAGACTAAATCATCTTTAACCAAGAAAAGTAGGCACAAGTACGGAACAAACCAATGATTGAGAGAGAGGTCGAACCACTTGATTAGGTGAGCTGCCTCTTTACGCGGCAACGAGGAACCAAACCATATGGCAGAGGATAAAATGTAAACGCGGGCGGCGAGCGGAAATCGCGTGGGATGGATGGATGGATGGATGCCAAACAACGCGGTGCAATAATTGGTACCATATGTCGGGAACGGGTACAATAATTGGTGCCATATGTCGGGTGAGCACTCTACGTGGCCTTGTGGTGGTGCTGTGCGACTCCAATTGGCGCGGAGGGGTGGGCTCCACGCATCGCCTTCTCAACCACTGTTCCGTGTATCCGCGTGGTTGGATTATACAGCAGTGTGGTTGAATTATTGCACGTTGCGTGCAATAATTCACATTAGATCTCGTCACCGTTATTGGATTTTAACGAGAGATGGGTGACCCAACGAATGTTCTTTTGGGCGGTAGCCGAAGGAGTTGTATTGCGATGAGATGCATAAATTGTGAATGGGTGACGTATTTAGGTTATCATGTGAAAAATGATATGATGAAGTTGATCCGATTTGATTAGTTTTCGAGTACTTTCATATTTTAAGAACGAAAAGAATATATCTTAGGGCATTCGATAGTTACTACTGATCTAATGATAAAAAAAAAGAAAATTATATTCTATTTTGAATCGTTGCTTACAGAAACTACACTAATGTGTCTCTTAAAATTACTTGCAATGGTTGAGTTAGCAACCTTCGTTCAATCTTAATTTTAGTTATGGGTGTTCAAATCGAATCAAAAAATTAAATTAAACCTAAATCAAGCCGATTCGATTCATTAATAATTTAGTTTTGAAGACTATAAATGATTCTAGTTTTGAAGTACTCTTCTTTAATTTTGTTTAATCGATTCAAATCGAATCGAATTAATCTTAATTTAAAAAATATCAACTCAATCCAAATCCTTCAAAAACTCTAAAATATGTTCTTAAAATGAACGAGTTCATGGCTCTTTCTCATCGTCCTTTCTTACTTTTTTTTTTTGGTCTCAAGTATGAACTCTATTTTTTATTAATAATCTCTTTAATGATTTGTATGATTTTTTAATTTATATATATCACTACATATTTTAATTATTAAGAAAAAAAAGGATTGTATGTGAAATCATTATTTCTCTTGGGTATTTTTTAATAAAAAAATTTAAAAAAAACTACTTAAGCATAGGTTCAGTTATTTAGAATGTTTAGAATGATATTTTGATATAAATTTTTTGAGAATATAGGTCCAATTAGATTAAAATTTTGATTTGGTTCAATTAAACTAAACCGAGTCACCAAATCAAATCGATTCATTTAAAAAATATTTTTTTTTAAATTACATAAATTAAAAATCGATTAATCGATTAACCAAATCAGATTAATCGATTCGGTTAGGTAGGTCCGAAATGATTTTAAGTCGGAGCAAATCGAATTATATTTTCGATTTGACCTTTAATGATTATGTTCAACCTCTCTTAACATCTCTAATTTTAGTATGTTTGAAATAAAAGGAGCTTTCATGTAGAGAGTATTTGTTTTCTAATCTCATTGATTTGATAAAATCAAGTGTATTAACAAGGAAATGTTTTCCTTATATATCATGCTAACAAGCGTGTTTGTTTAACATTCGAGTCCACTTTAATCCAAATTACTAAAACGAATTAGTATCAACCTATTCAGCTTCCATCCAAATCGAAATAGAATTATAATCTAATTGATTAATAATGATGTTTGAATATTCTTAATCAGTTAATCATTGTTCGCTATTTTTCTTTTAGGTTTTCTTTTTCGTTAGTTTCTAAATAGAGTCGTGATATATATTTGTTTTGAGACTATTGCAAAGTTAGATGAATGAATGTGGATGTTATATGTCTCTTTCGATGAATGTCATAATATTTGGGTCCATACGTGAGCGTACGATTCTTCTCCGTAAGTTTTTCCGATTCAAAATAGAATTATAATCTAATTGATTAGTTAAACTTGTAATAGACCAATCAAACTTTATATGAATTATAATGAAAAATATCGATGAATTATAATCAAATTTTATTGAGTGTGACTACTGACCTAATGACAAGACGCGGTCATCATGTTTAGATAGTGATGTTTGAATATTCTTAATCAGGTAATCATTGTTCGCTATTTTTCTGTGGTTTTCTTTCCATTAGTTTCCAAACTGAATGAATGTGTTGAGACTATTGCACATTTAGATGAATGAATGAATGAATGTGGATGGTTTACGTCTCTATCGATGAATCTCGTATTTGGGTCCACACGCGTGAGCGTACAAGTCAGTCTTTTACTTATGTTCTTTCTAATAAAAAGCAATATCAATAACTCGAAACATATTATTCTATCCATATAAATAAGGTTAATTATATTTGATTTTTAGATTTAAAAAATTTATATTATAACAAATATGGAGGTCTATTTATCCTAACGTTATCGATTTTATTGATAAAAATATAAAAATAATAAACAAAAAGATATTTTTAACGTTCCAATTAGTAATGGTAGATGTCATCAGTGGTAGCGAACGACGACATTACTAAGGGCCATGAGTGATTGTTGTAGATAAGAAAAGCAGTAACGAAAGATTAAAGTCACTATGCATTTGCATTAACGCCGATGTAGTGAGTGATACTCATCTTTTGTAATCACTCTCCTTATCTACAATAACCACTCGCGGCTCCTAATAGCTCTCTCGTCTGTCACTAATTGAAATATTAAAATTATTTTTTTATCTATCATTTTTTTATTATTTTTAATAAAGTCATACATATACGTGCCACTTTTATAACTATAGAGATTTCAATTTAGAATTTCAATATAAAATTTTTAAGTATAGGAACTAAGGAGGTTGAACTATAAAAAAGAAATTATAATTAGCCCTAACACATACTTAAGCGAAATTATGATAACGTTGTTTATCTCGTACGGTTACCATACGATACGTTCACTGCCCAAATCTAGATTTGACCTTCTCATGTTACATCCGAACCTTTCCATGTGCAAACTGCGATACTTTATTGAACAGGCAAGAGATGGATAGAACTGTACAAACGTGCAGGAAAAAGATAAGATTCAATGGGTTAACATTAGGGATATAAAAACCATTAATTGCGAATATAGAATGCCAACTTGTTTCTTGCATGTTCATTCACCACAGAGCTTTGTTTTCTAACTTATTATAATTGACTAATTACTTTCGATTTCTGAAACAATAAATGCTTGAAGAGTAATAAAGTAATTCCAAGTGGAAAAAAAAAACATATTAGAGTTGGGTTATTCGATAAAAAAATATATTTTAATCGAGAGAATTTTATTATTTGACATTTATGTCATATGGCTGATATTTTAAATTATTATTCTGATAGTAGAGAGAGAGAGAGAGAGAGAGAGAGTCTCTTTTCATCCCACAACTATGAATAAGCTTTGGTACTTCATCACTGATTGATACATGTTTGCAGGACGATGCGACTGCTGTAAAGCCACCAACGAGACAGTGAGAGAATTTATTTTGTGTTGTTAACATATTATTACATGGATGAATCACTGCCAACAATGAAAGAAGCAGTTTATTGTACACACAAAAGCGATTAGGTGGAACAGGAGATGATCCTTTTCCTGTCTTTCTAGATCTCTGCACTCTCCATGTTAAGAGACCATCGAATCGATGGTGGTGCTTCAGTTGTCCCCGCCGGCGAATTTTCTAGCTGAGCCCTCGAACAGCTGCTTCCTGAATATGCCATGCAAGCGCTCAAATAGCTCCTTCTTCGTGGTGTCCAAGGCGCCGTTCAGCTTCTCGATCAGCTCGGTGGAGTTCTTGTTGTATATGAACAGCCCATTGTAGAGCTCGTAGCTGTCGCTGCAGGTGTTCTGCACCAGATTTAGTAGGGTCTCGTAACCTTTGGTGTTGATGGGCGTGGACTTGAGGTCCAGCTTCGCGAGCACCCTGCCGATGGTGTGCGTCAAGAACTGGATCTCTGCCGCCGTCTCGTCGTGCTCCGCGCACGACATCTCGACCATCCGGCAGCCCTCCCGATCGAAGATCTCGAGGAACGCGCGGCACCGCTCGACCCGGTCGTCGGAGTCACCGATCCGGACTTTGTCGTAGGCGAACGGGAGCCCGGCCCAGCCGTGCTTGCCGCTGTCGGGGCCGAACATGGGATGCGTGCACAGGATGTCGAAGTCCGGGGGAAGCAGCTGGAGGAAGAGGTTTTTGGGGAACTCTTTGACGGAGAGGACGTCGACGAACAGCGTGCTGCGGCGGAGACGCTGGATGGGCAGAGACCGGAGCACGGCCTCGGCGGAGAGGATGGAGGTGGAGAGGAGGACGACGTCGGGCTGTTGCTCGCAGAGGTCGTTCTGGTCGTCGAAAAATGCCACACCGAGGGAGCGGGCGGTGTCGGAGTAATCGGTGCGCGAGTAGGCGAGTATCTCATGGCCTTGGGCGGCGAAGGTGCGGGCAAGGAACTGGCCGAAGTTGCCGAAGCCGATGACGGCGATCTTGAGCTTGGTGCGGCGGTCGAGGAGCTTAAGCGGCTGCGGCTCGACATCAAGAACAGGGGCGGAGTCCCGGGCTCGGATGGTCATGGCAAAACTGCGGCGAACAGGGACGGTAATGGCACCGCCTCCGGCAGGGACGTGGCGGTACCGGAGAGGGGCTGCGCGAGCATGGGAAGAGGCGGGGAGGAGCGTGGTGTTCGAGGGGAGGACACGGGAAAGCAGCATTTTGCGCGTTCGAAAGGTTAGAAAGAAAGAGAAGGCAGCGTGCGACCACCTCCTAATTCGATCTGTTTCCCCTTCTCTCGCTTGCTTTGCTTTCGCCGATATGATCGCTGCATACATACATATATATATATATATATACGTACACACACTGACACCATTATTGTTCCGAGTCGGGTGCATGTGATTCATGCGGACATGGATGTGGGCCCCTCGCGATCGGAAATAAACAGAGACAGCGAATTTGCTTTTTAGTACCCTTTCCACGATTTGTTCTCCCATTCTGAATCAAAAGATATTTCAATATTCGTCAATTATTAAGCTTCGTTGGTTTGAGGAAACAAAGAAGGATTGATTAATTAATTAATTAATTAATTAATTAATTGATAAGATAAAAATGTTAATAAGCACGCACCTTATCAATATAGAATGGTAGAATCAAAACGAATATTCCGTTGCTCAGTATATATTTTTTAGGTTTAAAGTATTAATTAGATGATGAGATAAGAGAGTCAGTATTGAAATATTAGTTAGGTTAGGTTGGGAAGATCTTATAATATCAAAACTAAAATATCGTATGTGGCGAAGAAGAAAAGCAGGTGGTGGGTCCCTCATGACTCAGCGAGGGTCGCGGTGGTGGTGGGGTCCATGAGGATTTAGTGAGCATTCACTGGGCGACCACGTCAAATTAACACATTTAATATGAGTTGGTGACCGAGCACGTGAACCTGATGCAACGAGTGATTGATTGGTCGTCTCCGATCGGTGTGGAAGGTCGAACGCGTCGCCGTCTCGACGGCACAAAATTACATATGTTTTCTCCGCCCTCGTGAGCTAACGTGGTCGGACGGATGTGGCCATCACAACAGTCGTCGCACGATGCTGCAGCCAACAATTCATCCAATCTGGTCACCGATTGTTGTATTCGATCTCAACGTCATGCGTGAAGATTTAAAGGTAAAGGCTGTTCGTTTACGACACGAGAGAATAGGATTCAAATCATAAAAATATTTTTTAAAAAATATTTTAAAAAAATTAAATATATTGATTCTTTTTATACTTGTACTATCGAAAAACTCATACAAGGAAATATCATAAATAATTTAATTTTATCTCACACGTGGATTAGATTCGAGGATACTCGAGATATTATAAAGCTAAAAAATTAATCTAAAATTAAAAAAAAAATTACGTCAAAAACATATTTAACAAAAACCTTCTGATGCTTAGATTAATAATGATTTGAAAGATTTAGTCAAATATCAAAATAAAATGAGTATTTTTTTGAAGAAACAACATAAGTACCTAATAAGAAAGAAATCTCATAAAACAAGTGCTTGAAAGATCATAACTAAAAAAGAAAGAAGCAAATGGATCAAGAAAGTGATCCTTCCAAAAAAATATGTAAAACCCCATATCTTCACAAAAGTACGAAAGAGATCAATATATATATATATATATATATATATATATATATATATATATATATATATATATATATATATATATATATATATATATATTTGTAATCAAATATTAAAAAAAAGAAAGAGAGAGACAAATACAAGATTCAAACTTAAATTATGATTTACTTAAATTGGTGGTAAAAGATCCATTACATATTTTGATAACTAGCTAAAAAATCCAATGCATATTTTGATACCCATATGAGACTAATAACATTTGGCATTATGATTTCCATTATGCCAATGCCTCCGTCCAATATCTCACTAATAACATTTGGCATTCAAATCGCAATCATTGTCATATCAAATCCAACGACACGATGTTTGAGTTGGCTTCCAGCCAATAATGGTATGTCAATTCCACGTGAATCTCGTTTTACTCGAGCAAGAAAGAAAAGCTTAATCATTGTCGGAGCAATATTAAAGGTCAATTATCGAGTAATCATTTTGATTATAATATACGGGAAACAAGATCTTCATATATATACGATAACAACAATTCAGAGAAGCAATAGTAAAGACACAAGTTCAAAATAATTGATACGAACTTCATTAAAAAAATTAAAGATTAGAGAACAATAAAATATAACGAATAATATTATTCATCGGTCCTAATGACATTGCTAATTCAAGTAGAAGATGATTCTCATATAAATGGAATCTTGGAGTGGATTAGCGGAATACTAATACGTGATAGAGGAATACTCCACACGGTTGGAGCACATGAACCTAATACAGTCGCTCGTGACGCATCGCCTCACCGAAGACTTCGATTTCTGTTCCGTGTTCATGTAATGCAACGTGGTTGACCGGCGAACAATGGATTGAATTCCCTGCAACTCGCACCGCATGCAGCAGCAGCCACAGGTGTCCAGTAATTCGCATCCGTCCCTCTCACTTCGTCGCATGCGTTGTTCGTTTCACGCACGGCGGAAGGAAGAAGGAAGGAAGGAAGCTGAGGAGGCGCTGTTGTTGGTGGGTCGTACGTTGCTGTCAGATTTGATGGGTTAGTCTGAACCCAACACCATAGCGAAGAGAGATGCGCGACAGCATGCGGAGATTCGTGAAAGTGCATCTTCATCTTGGAAGGCGAGTTTTTGGTTGTTTGAAAGACGCAAATGATAGAAAAAAATCTTTTCATCATATAAATAAAGTTCACGTTAATAAAATTTCATCAGTCCTTCTCATCATTTCTTAATATATTATAGTATCAGAGCCACGCTTGCCTTAAGCAAGATTTTTCTTTCTTTTCTTGTTGTCTAGCGACATCAATTTGTCTTGTTGATGATAACAGGGTATCACTCCGCAAAAGCTTGTCGGTATCGTCCTAAACTTCTTACTATATCCGATTGGTCTTAAACAAATATCATGACTATTCCGACCGCTCATCCAAATAATTGGATTGTGGATTCTAGTGCTTCTCATCATATCACTTTTGATATACAGAACTCGTCAATCCACAATGACTATGGAAATAACGAAGACATCATCATCGATGACGTTAACGTAATCCCCATCACTTATATTGGTTCCATAATATTTAATTCGCACACCACCATTTTTATACTAGATGATGTTTTTTATGTATCTCACATGAATCTTATTTTCGTTTCTCAATTTTATAAATAAAATAATACCTTAATTAAATTCTTTTTTTTTTTTGGGTCAAATTTTAAAACATGCTTCTTTGGATGATAGTCCCAAAGCCAATCTTATGGTGTCGCATCGAAGAAATGGAAATCATTATAATTACAAGGTTTGATTTGATTCGGGCAAATCCGTAGCTGAACAGTAGAATGTATCCGCAGGCAAAATGCCTTCATCTCCATCCACATTAGATGACACCAACAAAATCATTAGTGTCGTATCATCTCCTCGGGTTCGATACCAAGTTAGATAGTCCTATGTGTCGATATTAAGTGAGTCGCAACCACAAATCATGACGTGCACTTCTCGCTATCCAACACACTTTACATCACATTCGTTCTAATTTAAGTACCCATAGGAATCTTAATGGGATATACTTGGTTCTTCTAGATAACTCGACCAAACTTACGACGAGAAGAGGGACGAAAGAAGACTTGGATGACACGTGAAAGGACTAAAAACATTTATCACATGCAATCAAACACTTCTTAGGCAGGCCATGATTGCAGTCACATCAAACCTAACAATTCAGATTACCAATTGTTCGCCAGCCAATGTACGTGAATTCCCCGTGAATGTCCTTCGTGCATCGGAGAGAAATAGAGGCATAATTATTGACTAACCATATCGAAGCACAATTATAGGGCAATCCCTTTCATTATAATTATGATGGTAGTTGGGGCGTATGCCATTGGGATCGAGTGGCAAATTAAAAGTTTATAAGATAAATATAAGAAATAGTTTTTATTCAATTTATCAATTTCATGCATAGCAAATAAAAATAAAAAAAATCAATCAATCAAGACATATTATGAGAGTTTTCGAGCTTCTTTTTTATTTAACTTGTTATTGTATCCTACGAGGATAAAACGATAAAACTAATATCATCATCTAAATCATGGATCTGAGCATCATCATAATTTAGTTCAATCCGATCATCAATACGAGACTCTTATCATATAAGAATTGATAGATCTATTGATCTTAAGGTGTAAATAGGAGATCGATTAAATTATCTTGATGGGTACTCGAGAGATATTACTTTAGGAATAAGGTGAGAAGCAGAATTTAAATGATTTAAACACCCCTTCCTCAGCTCAGAAGTCGATCCATACGTAATTCAGAGTCTAAAAGTCAGCTCTCCTACAGAGACTCTCATATATCTTCTTCATCTAAGTCATATTGGGCATGGCAAAAGAATTACCCAAAACCAGAAATAATTTATTGGCACAGTAAGATGGAAGTACAACTCCACAGGAAAGTGGATGAAAACCATGTGTTCTATTTTACGTGTATTACGGCGTCATGTGGAAAACGAGGGAGCTTATCATAATGCAATCAGGGCGCAAATTATTCTACCCTGTCGACTGGCAATAATGTATTCGAATCATCAGTAGCCCGTGAGGCCAAAGTTAGGACATTCGTCATTCACTGGTTTCTCGCTAATCTGTCGTTCGCTTTCGCAATTATTCTTCCTATCACGATTTGATTTGATGTAATAATTAATCCTATAGCTACTAATCCAATATACTTAAAATCAAATTATCTTTAATAATTAATTATATTTAGCATTCCGATCATTATACTTTCAAAAATTATAACGGGTCTTTATACTTACAAAAGTAAAATATTTAATCTTATTTCTCCTCGTGTCGTTGACTCGCTGGCAAAAATATCACACATGTTGTCACATTTGAAAATAACACTAAAACATGATAAAATCAAGCTAACTAGATTATCTTTAATAATTAATTAATATAGTATTCCGATCATTATACTTTTAAAAATTATATTATGATCTCTATACTTAGGAAATTGAAACATTTAAACCTTGTTTCTTCTCACGTCGTTGACTTTGCTGATGAAAATATTATATTATTTTTTTCTTATGTAACTTCTATGAAAGCACTTTCCTTCTTCGATTTCATCCTTTCCTATAAGAGAGAGATCCTTTCTACTTAGTGTTTTATTTCGTTTCCCAATAAAACTTTTGAAGACGCAA